CCCATTTGCAGCCCCCTAGCCCGAATTTTGGCGGGCTGTGGGGGAGAGGGGCTGCGGAGGGCAGAGGAGAGCGCGGCCTAGGCGGTCGTTTGGCCTAAAGGTCTCTCACAGCCCAGCTAAATCCGACCCAAAAGCGCAGGTAAAAGGCCAAATATAACCCACTCCCTCAAATACTGCAGTCTGAGGAGCAAACCCAGCCTAGGCTGAGGAAAAAAAGCGGGTGCTGGCGTTTCCCCTCCGACTGGACCCCGAAGGGACGAGCCTGAACCAGCCCTTCCTCACAACAAAAAAATCCCAGCCGCCATCAGCAGCAGGGTCAGGATTCCCTGAGATATGCTTTCTACTCACGGTTATTCACCAATTTAGATGCTTATGGGAGTGGTTTGCACTACCAATTTGATGTAGAGCCTTTAGCAGAAATAAAAATATGGTTTTTGTAAACTGGTGTAGGCCAGGGGGTAACAAGTACTAACATAAGTCCATGTCTGTGTTCGGTGCTCTAAGGTTTGTCATCCCTCACTTGAGCTCGTACATTTTTATTTGCGCTGACAAGGAAAAAGAGAAAATTGAAAAAAAAAAGAAAAAGAAAAAAACCTTGTGGAGTTAATATTTGAAGCGATTTGTTTTACGCTTTTTGTGACGAGGCAGGGAAACGGAAATGTTCCAAACCAATCTCCAAAGTAAACAACCTTTTGCAATAAATGTTTGCCAAATGCTAACACAGGGCTCAGAGAAATATCAGGACAAAAGTGCATCCATTAGCAGGAGTTTAGCGACTGCTTAAGGACAAGAAACATTCTAGAGCGGATTGAAAGTTGATGCTTTCTGCTTTGTAAACAAATTAGCTTATAGCAACAAATAAGATGACCCTTCTTGGCTAATATTATGAGTTTAGCTTGTTAAATATTTAACATTTACCTTTCAATTTTCCAGTCTGGATTAAGCAGTTCTCTAAACAAGTGGTATCCCAGCAGCAGATGGAGATGCACAGACCATTGCCCCGCTCTGGCTGAACTCCATAAGAAATAAAAAACACGTTAAGTCAAAGAGGAAGCAAATGGGAGCTTTCAGTAAAGTCTCTAAGCTTTGGCTTTGAAACTCGCTGCTTGTACTCATTTTTATTTACATTAATTTTATCTAGCTCTGCTCTAAATTAAAATAGTAGTCAGTTCAACTTCAATCAAGTTGAATAGAAACAGACTGGGATTGGCTGAGTACTTCTGAAAACCTCCCTTGTGGCAAAGTATTTTTTTCTTCCAGATAACACTACTGCAGACCCAAGGTAAGATTTTCAAAAACCACTTAAAGATGCCATAAATCCTTACAGTACAGTCCTGCTAAAGACAGTAAGGGGAGTGGGGGATGAAAAGAAAGTATCATAGGATTGCAACTTTATTTCTAAAGTATGAATCAGAAATATGTATCAGGTTTAGCCTGTCTTGAACAAAGTTTAGTGGTGTCCTGTTTATGAACAGGAGTGGAGCTGCTTTGTATATTGTACACAAGGAACTTAAGTTGTCTTCAACCCACAGCTGCGTGTATAAAATTTCCACTAACTTCAGACTTTGCTTTCCAAAGGTAAACATTTTTTTCATATAACTATATGTTTATCTATAGGTGGTTTCTTGATTGTTCTTAAAGGTGTTACCTCCATTTTCTGTCTCTTGCCTGAGCAGCCTAAAAGCCTGATGAAACACTAATTTTAGGAGCAGTTACATTTGCTCATGAGCCTTGTGAAAGCTTAAACTATAAGCTTCTTTAGCTAGCTAGAATTATACCATATGTAAATTAAAAATGCTTCCAGTGAAGTATAACTTCCTTAAATGTACAATGCAAACTCTATCCAGCACACAAGCACAAGTCAGCCAAACCTATTTGTAACACTTTTAATGAAATGCCCCATATTCTTTCAGTTGTCAGTACAAACAGTGCTTCCATTGTGGATGTGGTAATTTTGCTCAGTGGCATATTAGAGAGGTCTGGCTTGCGTGCTTTCGTAATAAATATGAAGGATGTTTGGAACTTGTTTTCTGTAATTTTTGTAAATTTTTAATCTTTGAAACAATGAGGTCTATTCTCTGAGTGTATTTCCCACTGATGGTAACTGGGATGTTGCACTGCAGCTTGGACGGGTTCCAGTTATGTTACCAGCAGTGCTGCCAGCTCTTGTAATTAAACTGCAGCACTCACTCTCTTTGGCAATTTCCCTGAAGCCTCAGCTGCTGGAATCAAGAAACAGCGTGAACGATCTCAGTTAAAATAATTTTAAGAGGTAGTGAGTCACTAACTCTCATTGTTGCCTGACAATGTGAAGTGTACCTATTCTAGAGACTCAGAAACCAGAAGGCAAACCAAAAGAACATATTTATTGATCCTTTAAAGCTCATTACTTTTCAGACTCATGATTTTGGGAAAGCCTGGGTCACTGAGTTTTTTCACATAGCAATACTGTATCATTTATTTGTATATCACATATATAGTCATCACATGAAATTAAGCCATATATCAACTTAAATGCTGTGAGAAAAAATGGTTTGAAGCATCACTTTTTTACGTTTAATCTTTTTTTTCAGTCATAGGTAAGCATGTGTATAAGTAGTTATCACTCTAAAGGAATCAAGTAACGTGACAATCATTTCAATAACATTCCTATAACTTTTTCGTATTCTGGTTGAATAATTGGTGTAACAAGGTAAAAGAATGTTATTAATTACTGTAGCTTGTACCATCACATATACTTCCTCAAGAAGTTTAGAACTATTTTCCTAACTTTCTGATGTCTCACTCATGATGTTCCCCCCTGCTTTTCTTTTCCTCCTCTAAGATCAGCTGAATACTCCATTCTCTGAGACATGGAATTAGCAAATTATTTAGTAAATTACATGTCATTGCACTAAATTCAAACCAAAATGTATCCTATGCATATGACAAGATTTTCACACTCCATTGTTGTGTCTACAATGGAGTGATTTCCTCTTAGCCTAGTTTTAGGTATAGTATTTTCCTCCTCTGGAAATAGGACTTTCAAATTTTCTCTCCAGGTTAAATTTATGGGACTAACAGAACCATGACATCCACTGCAGGGACCAGCTACACCTTGATTCCTAACCAGAAATACAGACGCAGTAACCGTCGCTCCAGACAGCACTGCAGCATCTTGGACACAGATCCCCAATCTCTGTCCACACTTGGATACTTTAAAACACTTCCATTAGAGATCTTTCAAATGGTATTGAATTATCTTTCAGGTGAGAATCTGATAAGAAAGGTATTGCTTCCAGTATCTGAAAATTGCCACAAAAGTTTTCCATTTAGAAAAAGCCATTATTATTTAAAATGTTTTACCTTTCAGCTAGTTGAAGCCATTTTATGTGACTTATTCTGTGAATTTTCAGCTTTTATGTGTGAAGAACCAAATTACCAAAATTTAAGTGATAATTACAAACTATTGAAGTGGTTTTTGCCTATTATGTGTGAAAAGTATTCTTTAGATCTATCCATTTCTAATTATTACAGTTTGTTGGCAAAGGAGATAAACAGTAATTAGATTTTGTTTTATTTGTAAATCTTATTTCTTGGCCTATTTTTGAAGTAAGATAAAGTTATTGACTAGTGATCAGCATTTTTCTTGCAGTAAAGATTTACAGGTTTACTGGGCTTTGCTTTTTCAGTGAAGGATATCAGCATGCTGAGCATGGTGTCGAAAACCATCAGCAACCGCCTTATTAATTACATCTCAACCCCATCAGGAAACCGAAGGCTCTTACTGCAAGACTTTCATAACCTTGAGCTACCTGGCAAGAGAGAAGGATCCTGTATTTTAGAGCACTACAAATCTCTAGGTGATCCTTTAATGCAAATGGTAACAATTAGAGGAGAACTAAACTCAGTTAAAAGGTTTCTTCTGTTATATGCATTGATCGGTAAAATGCTGAGAATATGGCCCAAATAATTTGTGTGGCTCCCTCTGAAAGTGAAGTTCCTCCCCATGCCAAATAGCCCACTCAAATACCATTATCTGGTGCGGGGAGGTGGGAGGAATTACCTGAAATGATTCCAAAACCTCTTAGTTATGGAAAAAATAATGTATGCTCTGCCTCCTCTATGTTTATTTTTTCATATTAAATGGCAAGCAGGGCTTGGGCAGAGGATCAGGTCTCAGTAGTAGGTGTTTCCAAATTTAGTTTGTTTGGACACCACTGCTGGAAACTGCAGCAGAAACCAAGACTCCCAGGCCCCACACCAGCTGAAGGAATTTGGCTGTTCAGACTGCCTTCATGTATCACTTTGGAGTAGCTCGCATTCCTCAGCCTGGGAAATGTAGCCGCAGCACTTAAACCCAGCCTAATTCTGAAGTGACCAACAACAGTTGCCATCAGAAAGCCTGCTTGGTACTCTACTTGAGATGTTTTGCAGATCACATTCCACTTCTTAGAAAGAAGCATGCTCATCACAAAAGTGTTATCAGAGTTGTCAGTGACTAGCATTCTCCTTGGCAGCTTTGTATCAAAGACTGAAAGGGGCATGAAGAACACATTTCCCTCTCACTCTTAGCTTAAGGGCAATGTGAAAATGTCTGCACTTTTGCTGTCATGGTATACTGTGTGCTAACCAAAGCCTTTCTGGGTGAAAAGATTCACTTGATCTTTCTTTCAGCTGCTCAGACCTCTTTTGGCATAGCGTAATAGAAATCTGGATCAAAATAACATGGGTTCGATGGTAATAAGGAGTACTGTACAGCCTCAAATTCAAAGTTGTTTGCTTTTTAACTTTTCTGCTAATTTTTAAAACACATCGATTCTAAGTCATTCAGCTTCTCGCTCAGAAATGAAGCATTCCTTCTTATGTGTCTTGAACACTGAAAATTGTCTTCACTCCCATCAGTGTTCTTCTATATGAGAAGCAAATTAACTTAAATCCTAAGTTGATCCCTACCAATTTACTGTTACCTAGCTGATAAAAAAAAAAAAATTGTTTATTTGACAGAGAAATAAAATGATGTCATGATTAGATGTAGAATTATAAGTATGGTTTGAACTTAAGACATTAAATAAAGGCATACACAAGGTAAAGGAATGCTGTTAAAATTATTGAGACCAAAGACCTTCTACTGCAAGCAATCCATGTAGGTTTTGAGGTATCTTAAAATAATCTTAGTGTTTTATTTTTAAAATGAAGCCTGCAACTCTACAATTCTTAAAAAAAAAAAACCCAAACAATTAGTTTGGGCTTTGTAGTAACCATGTACAAGATGGCAACTTGTTTAAATGTAGGTGTGAACCCATCGCTATAGTAGGCCTAGTAGTAAAAACATGACATATTCAAAATATAAAGATCATTGGTATTATGTCTGTCATCAGTGGAAGGCTCAAGAGAACGTTTTTGTTAAGAGGTCAGTTGCAAAATCAATATTTACTTTACAGCAGGAAAGACTGGACTCAATGGGAAAAACTCATTCCTGTTCAGAGCGCCTGAACAGGGTCTACATATTACATAAATCTCACTTAAACTCAGAGGGGTCTGGTTCCACTCAAGTCCATGGTAAAATCTTCCAGTACTTGTAATGGGGTCAGAATTTCAGCCATTGTTTAAAATGGACTCGAGTTATAAATGATCGTGGCACTGTCCTTCCGCATGGCGGGGTTTTGCTGTACAAAACCAGGAGCAGTACCTTTTGCTCAACCCTTTTTACTCAACATAATTTTTCCCCACACTGATGGCTGTATTCTGATTTGCAGCTACCCTGTCTCAACAGTTTCAACTATTCTTCAGGGAGTTCTCTCTATCATCTAATCTAGTCAATAGAAAATTGACTTGACTGAGCTTTGGACCATGTCCTAGGCAGATGAATAAATTATGTCTGTCATGTAGGAATGCTAACACACTTCTAAATAAGGAAAGAGTCAATTTAGAACCACAGTAAATGCATGAAGTACTTCTTGACATTGGAGAAGTTATGTATTTTTTGGGAGACTGACAATTCAGAAAAAAAAGTTCCCCCCCCCAAAGTACATGCTTTTCTGTGGATTTCTTGATTAATTGACAAACAAGATATATATATTTTATTCTGGTAGAAGTTTTTGAAGAGCAAGCTGTTAACCCATGTTCTATCATAGTGTAGAAAGAAATGCTGCTTAACAAACAGCTGTTCCTCACTATAATGAACTCCAGACTTTGACATCCTAAACACATACCATTTCAGTCCTGTATAGGAAAATAATTTTACCTCTTAGCTATGTTTTACATTAACACAGTTTAGAATATTTTCTTTTTTAGAGCATGTGGCTATCTTGAAAAAATTTTGGAAGCTCAGCTTTCCATGATGTAAGGGGAAAACCAGCGTTCCCCGGGGTACTGTTAAAAGAGGTGCAACAAGGAACATTTATTTCCAATATTTTTAACAGCTGTAATTCTAAAACCAATATAGTAATTTTAATAGGGCTCCAACTGTGGCTAACAGGGACTTTAAAACAACACAATAAACAAGTTATGGCATAGGAAGCCTACATACTCCCTGACAACATTTCTTTAGTAAAAGATGTCCCCACGACAAAAGCAGACACCCCTTCTCCAAAGCGCAGATTACTGTTTTGTGCTGCTCTTTTTGCCTCGCAGTGGCGGCTTTTTCTCACTAGCGTGTGCATGCATGGGATGTGAATGCTTAAGCTAATTCAGTAATGTATGTACCATGTCCGTATACTCATAGTCACGTACATATTCGTTTTGTTCACAGGGTTGTTGCTTAAAAGATGCACACTTCTATTGCCTACAAAAGATAGACTAAAGTATATACACAAGATCCTCTCAGAAGTAAGTTCACATTCCTTTCACTAGTGTTTCGAATTGTCCCTTGCTCTTACAATACCATTTCTATAAGGCAATTGTTAGTTGAATTATGCCTTTTACTGTCCCTTTGCTGGAGTTTATTACTACTGTGTAATGAATTTATTGATTTGAGATCAGACTCTTTTTAATAATAATAGAAAAGCCTAAGCCAGCATATTGAACACAAGGCTGTTCTAGTAAGATTTCATATTCCAAGATCAGTGGGTTTCAACTTTTCTTCAGTTTGTGAACTACTAGGAATTTTGCAGTGGAAGAGCACAGCTCTTCACAGAAATTTTGTTCTCCTGAAAAGAGGGTTGCTCTTCTTAGCTTACTTTTGCACACCCATTTGACTACAGTTTTGGACGTAATGCTAAGCCATAACGTAGTTACTATAACTTGTTTCCTTATACAATAAGGGAAGAGAATCCTTCTGAATCTCTCTAACTAGCATTGATGTACACAAGTAGTACAAAGAATTTTCAATCACAGCAATTAGCTTATGGTCAGTTAAGATAAATTACTGGTGTTTTGCACTTGCAGGTTTCCTGTTTTAAACTTAATGGTTGTCCAAGTCCTTTGCATTGTTTAGGATTACAGTGCTATGGGGTATTTTTACAGGTACAGTATCTTTATGGAGAGAAGGCAAGTATCACAAATATAAAAGAAAATTAAGGTAGTTTTCTAAATTAATCTGTGTTTTTGCAAGATATTTAGAAGTATAAGATGGTTTTGAGCCTTGTGGGGATAGCGGGGGGGCAAGACTTTTATTCACACAGTTCTCTGAATTTCCTTTCTGGTTGTTAAAGTTGCTGATTTGACTCTTGAGAATTCCTTGGTTTGGATTTCACTACCAACCAGTCTGGATTTTGATTAGCGATTTATTATCTAAGAAGACATGGGAGAAGGGGAGCATTTTATTACACAGCTTCAAATTCACAAATCAAGAGCGGAGATGGTTTAGTTTAAAAGTAAATGGCTATACACATCATATGCCAGAATATTTTTGTTAGCTTGTGGTAGCTTAAAATTAATTAAAAAAACCCCAAACAAACAACAACCCAGTGTCAAATGAATTAGTTCAGCAATGCACAGCTTATTTACTGTAATGACTACTGTGATTGCAAATATGCAGTAAAACGCTAAGGGTAGGACCATTTTAACACTACATGAGATGTTTGATTGTGAAGTGTTAGAATTGCCATAATGGAGGCTTTACTGGAAAGTAACTTTGTTTAAAAAATACAGAAACAAATTCTCCCTTAGAAGAACAGGCATTTTGAGCACATTTTAAATGCATTTAAGTCTTGGAAACTTGTGCATAGAGGTGCTGTATAAGTATGCAGCATTAAAGTATTTGATAATACAGAAAAAAATTATTATCTTTCCGTGGTTAAGAGTTACAGATAATTATTTGTGCTGGGACATTTGTCTTTGTAGCAAATACCTTTGTGTACTTTTCCACATAAGGTTAAAAAGTAAGATCTTGGCCCTAAATGTGGAATGCCATTAGCAGCTTTTGATTCTGGGCTGCATTGAGCTTAAGTACAACCTCTGCCATAATGTACAGCACCTCTGTAGCAGATAACGGTTTCCATACACTCATCAGGGAGACGCTGTGCAGGCACTACACTCCAGGTATGACACCTTCCCTCTCTGTCTTCTGACAAACAGCCGGACAGGTTGTATTTATCTAACATGAGAAATGGCATTGTGATCTAAATCTATGGCTCAATCTATTCATTTTTACCCCCTTTCTTTTGTAATCTTCAGATCCTAACAGCAGGCTGGGATGAACTAGAGTGTCACCGGGTTTTTAACTTCCTCTGTGAGCTGAGCAATTTACCCCGTAAAGTACAGACAGTTGTCAGCAGCAAACCGGGTAATCATCAAAGCAGACAAAAGTCCTACAAAATCAAAATGCGCTATCATAGAGAAGTCAGAAAAATGGATCTTGATTACTGCAAACAAAATGTGTTTAGAATTGAGAATGTTTTAGCTCAGCTAAGCCTTGTAGCACCAATCCTTTCCTGACTCTCACGTACATTCTGTTAGCTCCAGTATTACACAGAAAGTGGGCATTCTAAACCAAATACTTGGCCTTCATATAGATGAATACAGCTATTTTTTCTTTACCAAAAGCAAAGATAAGTGCTTTTGTCTTTGACACATATCCTGTAGTGAAGAGAGTTGTCTTGAGAGGCGTTTAGGTTTTTTTGAATCATTCCATTATCAAACCACTGCATAAGTTATGTATATACGTAAACAGTAACACGGACTTGAATCTTTCCTACTGTACACCAATGCCAATGAAATCAATGGGAAAGGAACCAACACAGAAATAAAGTGATGCAGTTAAAGATTAGGTTTAGTATTTCTGAAACGCAACACTGATGTGGCACACGCCTCTCAAGAAATTCTTATATTACCCAACACAGGACTGGGTATTTCTGTGGAACACTTTATACACAGCCATATACACGCTTCCTCCTATTCCCACTTACTGATGCCGAAAACCAGAAACCAAAGAAACATAGCTGAGAGCCCCTGAAGACATGCATGAGTTGCTGCAGAAAGGTACCAGAGGGTGCATCAATAGATTCTATGGCCTGAATTAGTGCAACATATCCAAAACAGCTAGACTCAGGAAGCAACAGCTGAGAATTTAATTAAATCCCCTTAGATGTTCTTGGGCAGCTTTAAGAAAATCCTTCTTTCTCTTCCTATTAAAAAAAAAAAAAAAAAGTGATCATCTGTATTGTGCAAGGCTTAATGGATTTATAATATCTACATTCTTTTACCCCAGGAAGTGCCCGAAAGCTAGAGCTGCGGATAAGGTTATACTGTCGTAGAGTCTTATTGAACCACTGGATTCATCGAAGTGATTCTGCATTTTGGCTGACTCGTATTTTAAAGCCGTGGCCCATAGTCAATCAAGCTCGCCTGCTGTATATCATCTTTGGGCCAGTGTCCTCTCTTGATGGCGAGTAGTCTGGGGGGTTAATTTTGAAAGTTTGTTCCCTGAGAATGAGATTTCCTTGCAGGATGCAGCATTTCCAAAAACCAAGCTTTTGGCAAATAAAATGTAATCGTATTGCCTAGAAAAAATTGTTTTGCTTAACCAGATCTCACTAACATACATAAAATACATAAATGATATGTGTGTGCATATATATACACATCCATATATATATATATATATTAAAAGTTGCAATTCAAGTGAAGAAATTGCACCTCTGTTCCTCTATTCTCTCTTGCTTAGAGTAGAGTTAGCTCGAATGCACCTCAAAGAAGCATCTGTTTCCCTGAAGAAAAGCATGCTTTCTCACTTAATTATCAGACTTGGGTTTCTTTAAATCACCCTTTGATTCATGCTGCAACTACCACTGTCCCTACTGAAGTGACAGATGGAAAAAAATCTCACTGTCACAAAGACTGAGTTGTGTTACCTGAATTCCCCTCCTCTGACTCTGCTGTAAGGTCCAGTTTAGCACCTTCCTTGTTTAAAAAAAAAAAATTACTTTGTCACTTAATAGCAGTTGTGATTAATATATTGCTCAGGACATGTGGTTTGGCAGAAAATGATAGAAGGACCAACAGATGAGACCAGTCTGAAAGGTCTAGCAGATGCAATTAAACTGCTGTATGATACAGAAGCTAGAGAATGGACAGCAGATGATGTTATCAGTCTTGTGGATGAGCTGTCAGGTGTGTTTTTGCCTTTGTCATTAATCCGTAGGATTATATGCTCATGTCCTCCAAATCTGGCAATAAGTGTGTTTCAGACACAGAGGTGCCTTGGGAAACTGACTGCAATATTCCTTACAGTAGCTGTGGCGTAACTGGAAAAGTCATTACACTTGGAAGCCAGGCAGTAGCTGGGGATGAGCGAAACCCAGCACTGCTTACAAATTCAGGCTGTCTTTCCCCATTGTGAAATATTTTAAGAATCCATGCAGACCTTTGAAATTCAAGTCTTGTCTAGCCATTATTCAGGAAACGTTGTCCAAGCTGTGTAAGCTTAAAACATAATGTTTGTTCAAGCCAAAATTCTACTGAACAATGTTAACAGCCACATTGAAAGTTAGTTTTGGGTGAGATTATACCACAGAAGCTATCGTGAAGAGCTCTAACCGTATTGCTGGTAGGAATTGCTTGTATGACTTCATTGTGGCAATTGTATTCCAGAGGGTACCCCCTCACAAATTCTGGTTAGCTATCAAAGCCAACAACTCATAAATTCATGTCTTCCAGAATAGTTTTTGTGGCACTCCTTTCTTTTTGTCCAAAGATCACTAAAATTCTCTCTATTTTATTATGAAGTTATTCCCCGGGAGTGGCTCATGGAGAACAATGCTCGGCTTCTTATTCTGAGTGGAAACAACGTTTGCTTCACTTTCATGGCCAGTAAAGCTGTGAATGGAAGAGCCGTCGAGTTAGCCAGACTCATGGTCTTCCTGGCTTTGGTGAGTACTACTGAACAGAGCCAGCTTGGGCCTTTTGTCTCTTTACCCCCAGATTTGCTTTCTCAGACCGGAAAGCTGTTTCCCCATCTACTCCTACAAACCAGGACTAATTCCAGCAAGAGACTTGGTAGTCCTCCACCTTCTGGTCCCTGTCCAGCACGTCTCTGCAAGGTAGCACGCCTGTCCTTGAGGAGAAGTACCACTAACAAAATGTTGAGAAGTTACGCCATTAGCACACCAACAATAAGAATAACCTCTATGTACTCGTAACAAACCCTTATTTTCCAGGCCACGGCTGCAACCGATCCGTTAGAATTGATCGTTAATTCTAAGATTTAATCTTGCCTTTTATAGCATTGTACTCATCATAAAAGGTGTATTTCTAATATTTCCTGTGTACATCAGGTCTGTGAGAAGGACCTGTACTGCATGGACTGGGCAGTAAAAATGATGCAGAAGGTCTGCAAAGTTTTCAGCACTCCAGGGGAGAGAAACAAGTTCCTGCAGTGTGTGGAGAATGCCTTTGCTCACATGATCATGGACATGCTACAGGCAGTACTGTCCGGTAAGCCTGCGGGTCTGTGAGGCGGGACGAGCTCTTTAATCAGGAGCTAGCACTGAGCAAGGCACACAGCGTGGCATCACAGCCTGTCCTTCCCTCCCTCACCAGGCAGAGCAATACTGGAGTGCCTGAAGTTTTTTTGATAACATAAAATAACGAATCAAGTGTCATAATTGGGAGAGACATTTATTTTAACCGATCTCTCTTGTTTAAGAGATTCACCATCCGCCATGGACGGTGAAACAACAGTCTTTTAAAATACGTCCCACCAGAGCATTAGGCCCGAGGTCCTTTTGGGCTGCGTCTAAACACAGGCTCTGAGCAGCTGCCAGCCAGCCTGTTCAACTCAACGAGCTGCAGTTGCTCCCTGTCCACAGCTTGTCAGCCTTGATAAAACCTCAAGACTGATTATGATGGCAAGCTCAGTTAGGACAGATTTTTGTCTTAACGCACAATTGTTCTTGTCTGTCTTTGGACAAGCTGGTGAAGGAATTTTGGAGACCGTCTCCTGTGTTATTTCACAGCTGTCCTGCCATCAGGTGCAGTAGCTGATGCCTCATAAATCTAAGTGGAGGCTGCTGATTCAGCCTCTGCTGAAAACACTGAATGAGTGAGATTTATCTTCAAAGAAGTCATTTAGTTTCACTAATAATTTAAAAATGTTTTTCTTTGCCCTGGTAGGTGATCGTGATGAAGAGGACGGCAGCTTTTTGAATTTGTTTCACCTTGTAAATGCACAAGCGAACTTCCATAAAGAAATCCTGTACCTGACCATGAGAAGCAACAGCAATACCGTCTGATGCTCTGAATTTTACAGGCTCTTGCTATACTCCTGCTGCATTTTTTTTCTAAACATTTGCAAAGCAGTGTCCAATTATTTCTTAAATTTCCATTCCAGTAAGAGCTGGAATAGCTGCGGGAGAAGCTAGTGACATACATGTCAGACCAGCTGAATGAGCTCATGGAATGTATTGGGGGACCTCTAAGTGTTCGCAGCAGAGTTCTGCGCGTTTTGCTCCTCTGAGGCGGCGTTAAGGCACACTGAGGAAGCGGGCTGGGGGCCTCTGCTTTGGGAACATAAACTGCATTCTTTTCCCACTGTGTATGTTTGCATACACAATAAAAATGACATGGTTTTCATATTTGATGTGCATACACAAATTGAAGAATGTTGTCTTAGTTCAGAACCAAAACCATTTTGATCTTTTAATTTTGTTTTCTCTTGGGAATCAGAGGAGAAAAAGACAGACATGATTAGAGAAGCACAGCTACATTTTTTCCAGTTTGCCAGGGTCTCTCTCGCTAACTCTTACATTCTGCGACAGAAGTGCTCCATAGATTGTACATTCAGTTTTAGCAGAAAGAGGTGATTCCTGAAAACAATTTAACTGCTTTGATCAAGCAAGGCAATTTTTTCCCCCCAAACTACCGGCGCCTTTTAACCATCAGGCAGAAGAAACTTCAAATCCCTCTCCCTGCCTACTGAACTGTTGAAGTGTATTTGCCTCCATAGGACTTAGCTACATTGAAGACACATGTTCAATGCACATAGGCTAAGATCACTGTTTCATTAAAGTATATAAATGTTTGCTACTTATAAAAGGTTTAGATTTTCTGCTATATTGCCTTCAAAACAAAAACACGTAATGTGTAATAAAAAGCACTTACTTCACTGTGCGTTGTTTACAACGTGGCTGTTTTCTTCATATTATTACATAGCCTTCTTCTCCACCTGAATCACTTCCCAAATGTTTTAGTGTTCCTTCAGGACCGGATTTTAGCTGCAGGGACCCATGTTGAGCTTTGAAAGCCAGCCTTCAACTGCTGGAAACAGCTCAATGGTACCAATTTATCTCAGCTGCCCCCACTTGATTTCATCAGTAATGAGCTGACAACAGCTCTGTAATGATTTGCTTGGAAGTTTGCATATGAAAAATTCTTGTGACATTTGTTGAATATACAATTACAGACAGGATTTGACTACATTAAGGAGTGGATATGGGATATAAATTTGCTGAGGATCTTTGCAGCGTGCCGGTAGATGGCAGAGGTGAAACCTTCCCTGAGAGGAGTGTCTGCTGGCAACTGCTTCTAACACCCCTTTTTTCTCGCTCTTTGAAGGTCATATTTAAGAGCACGCTGCAATACTACAATTGTGCTGCAACTACGTATTATTTCTGAAGTAAGCAAAACGCAAGACTCTTTGTCTGAAATCTAGTCAGTGAACTGAACGCCTCCAAACTGATGAACTCAAAACACGAGGAGAAAACAGACTTGCAGTGCGCACAGTGACAGGGAGATGCAGCCAGAAGCCACTGAGGCGGAATGCTACAGCCCAGATCGTTAGCCCTTCCCTCCCTTTGTACTCAGGAATCGCTACCAATAAATAATCTCAATAGATGGAATCCAGAATAATGGAGCGGGGTCTTGAACCACCGCATCTCTCGACCCATTGTATTTGTTGTGTGTAATGCTGTTTTGCCGTGCTGCGACACAAAGCACCACAGGGCTGGCGCAGGTTTTCTGCCAGTGCCTGTCTCATCTCCCGGGACCGAGGACACAGCAGCAATAAATTACAGCCCATCACAAGGGATGCCATTATGTGAGCGCAGCGACACAGGAAAAGTAAGTTCTTTGATTCACTGGCAGCAGTCGACAAAGATGAAATGTCAGCTCTGCCGGCACTAGCTCGCTCTCGCAGCAGATCCTCCAGGAATGCAAGTTTTATGCAGCTGCCAGTTGTGAAATATTGATGGCATTATTAATTATTATTAACTGCTCTTTTTCTTACATACACAATAGCTCAGCAAGTGTTTGGTGTTAGTTTTTGCAGCGTTCATATGTACGCCAGCATTTCCACCAGATGAGACTTTCCTCCCCAAAGGATCAAAGCTCAAACCCACCGAAGCGGTACTTCCCAAACCAGTTTTGTTTGAACTGGAAAACGACACCAGCCTTGCAGCCTCGTTTTCCAATATCACCGTCTGATCGGCTCTCGCAATTAAACACCGCTGGGCTAATGGCGTCCAGGTGGGGAGCCGCCGGGCAGCACCGTGCACCGGAGGAGCTGGGACAGCGATACTTGAGAAAATGGTGCTTTTTCTTCTGCTGCCAAATTTTAACTACTGCCGTGGGGAGTTGATAAAACCCTCCCAGGATGAGAAGCAAAATTCCCCCTGTGCCAGTGTAGCTCTTTTCAGAGCAGGGCTGCACCCTGACTGCAATCTGAGCTGCGGAGCACCATATCCCATCTGCTATCCCTGTCTGTCTGTCTGCAAACGCCTCTTCTGCCTGGCGGTTTCAATCCCTTCGCGGTCCTCAGCTGCTGGGCTGGGTCGCTTCACCTTCCAGCGCGGAGCTGGCTGGTTTGGGGCATGGAGGAAGGGATTGTTATGCATAGCTGATGGGTTTGTAAGGCCCTCAGAGGGGAGAGGAGTGTTCGGAGTAAGAGAATTATTGTTCCTGGTTTCACACTCAGCTGAGTTTCCATTCCACGCATTCCTCGTTACTCACTCTCTCTTAATCACTGCAGATGTTGACATCAGATACAGACTCACGAAGCGGAGGTTATTGAGAACATGACTTACGCATGAAGAAATTCCTCCCAGAATATTTCAAGTTTCTGATTTTCGACTATATTTGGTGGTGGAACGAGGAGAAGCTTTTCTGCATCTCCAGGGCTGGGCGATGAGGGACCACCCTGGGCAGCTCGGGCTGAGGCTGGTGCACTGAGAACACGCTTGGGAGCAAAGTCACCAACTTTGTGTTTCTCAGGAGTTTTACTAACAGGAAATTGCAGTGTCAAGTATTCAGCTGGCAACACTAACCGCATCCAGCATTCCCAGACTCTGAAATCCCTCTTCTTTTTGTAAATACAGTCTCTGAAAGTCTTATCAAGCAATTCCAGTGTACCCCGGCAGTGCCTGCACAGCCCCTACGCTCGCCAGAGCCTGTTCTCTCACACCCCCACGTGTGATGGTGCCATGGTTAACTAATGGGGCATGAGCTGTTTTTCCCATTACAGATATTTCAGGTGTTTATTGCTTACTGAAAAAAAAAAAATTCCTGGAAGAGACCGAGCATATGAAAATTTTGTCTTCTAGGAGGATGAAACTTTCAGTCTGAAAACAGCATTGCGTGTGACTGACAGTGTAAGGGCAGGGATCGATGCAGGGCTTCATAAAAGGACAGGAAAAATTCTCCTGATGCCCCAAATACCTTCCCACACCTCTCCAACCTGGGAGAAATTAAGCCCTGAAATGTTCTTTCCATCCCACAGAAATTTCCATCATATTAGAAGTGTTCCTTTTTCTATGCTGAGATGAACTGAGACCTCCCGGAGCTTCCCTAAATGGCGGAGAGGGGACCTGAGTGAGGGCGAGCCCCGGCTCGGCTGCTCGGGCACCTTCCATGCTGGGGAGAGCCTGGTTCGGACCCCACAGTGCCTGGAGCAGCAGCTGCCCCTCATGCCAGGGGACACAGAGGTGTCTCGGCATGGTTTGCCAATCTCTCGTCCTTCTCGGGGCTCGCAGGGTGCCCTGCATCTCTCCGCGGAAGCGGGGTTTGCTCCCGGAGCCGTGTGTGCCCCAGCCTGCAGGCGATGCAGAGGGATGCGTTTCGGCAGAGTCAACACCAGCAGATGTGTTCACTCTCCTGTGAGATTCCTCTTTATTTCATTTCCTTGAACATTTTTCATTAAAAATATAAGTGCTTTTCTAAAATTAAACCCAAACGACCGACCTCGGAAGCGCTCATCCCCAGGGGCTAAGCCACACGGGGGGGACAGGATCCTTTGCGTCCCCCTGGGACGCCATGTGCGTCACCGGGAACAACCCACGTCTCGGCAGCGGGACGTCACCTGGCAGCCCTCAAAAAAAACTCCTCGCTCCGCGTTGGGCAGCCGTTTGCTCGCAGAGGGTTAACGCTTTTCCAGAAGGCTCCGAGGGAGACGGACCAGGCGGCGGCTGTGGAAGAGAAAGGAGATGCTTGTCTGAGCTGGGCCTGAGAGCTGCGGGAGACCCGGAGATGGTGACGGGTGGGAATGGC